TACTCTATGACCAATGAACTATGCTAATGAAACAGCAATAACAGTAACTATCCAACACTGTCTTCTGGTTATCACCCTGCACCCTGCCAGGCTACAGTGACCCGTACTGCATGCTGGGCATCCTCTTGGGCCAGAGCCCTCGGGAAACGGAGGAGAAGAAGGAGAGAAAGTTCAGCTTCAGGAAGAGGAAGGACAAGCTGGAGAAACGCTCCAGCACCAAGGAAGTGTTACCAGCCAGGTGTATTCAGGTGACTGAGGTCAAACCTGAGACTCTGAACCCAGTGTGGGACGAGCACTTCGTGTTGTGAGTATAAGACAAATTCTAACCTTTATCAGAGATCTGCACACGCTGGTATGTGTGATATGCAGGAATCACGGTTTCATTAGTTTCGCACTAACGCCCAAAGCTGCTAGTTATGTGACCAGTGCGCCACAATGTCATTTCTGTGTAAAGAGCCACTGAAGAATTGAGCCGATTATTGTTGGTGTTGCTGATGAAATTGAGCGCTTAAACGATGACGTTTCCGGGTCTTTAGTTTTTTATTGTTGCTTTGCTGTTGTTGTGTTCTAGTGAAATAGACGATGTCCACCATGACCTCTTACATCTGGACATATGGTAAGATAATTCAATTCAACTTTATTTCCTATTAATGCAGTGTGTGATCTGAGGAGACTGTGCATAGTAATGCCAAGCTCTTACAGCTACAAACATAACCTACGGTATATTTGATTTGTTTTTGCTTTAATGCCAGAAATTTAAAATTAAACATATTTGGAAGCAAAGAAACAAGAGGTGGTAAATAAATATATTAAGTATACAATAACTGATTACTTTCTCAGTTAATAATTAGATCTATGAAAACTTTTGAAAAACATGACAAATTGAATTATTCTCAACTAATGTGTTTGATTTGATCAGTTAACTTTCAAAATCTATTGATATACAATTTAGTTAAATGTAAGGCAGCATACAAAATCCTCTAAAATAACTCATCACTGCAGCTCTAGAAAAGACACAGAGCTCTATCTTTTTTATTACTTTGTCAAAAGCTTTACAATCTGCCCAGTTTAGCGCCTGGTTCTGCTCACAGATCAAAGTTTTACAAGCAAAAGAGAAAACGTCCAAAGTGAAGCGAAGCAATTATCCTTTCTAATTATGCAAAAATGTAACAATTTTATCCGCATCATTCAGTGTGAATATCATTACTATGCAAATCAAATAGCCTGTTAAAATGTGATGTTCTAAATTACAAAATGTCCCCATTATTCAGCTGTTACCGAAACATTTCCTGCCTCTTGTCATGGTAAAAGTTGCTTTTCTTAAACAACAATGGGCCTTGATTATAGGTGACCTTCTCTTCTCAGTTTATTACAGCTTCTTAAAAGCGCTATACAAATACAGGCCATTTAACATTTACAGCCTCTCATGTTTTGCAGTAAGTGAGAGTGTAACAAGCTTTTATTCGTCTTCTTTCCTTCAGGGATCACGATGACGACGTATCTGTTGCTGAGGCCTGCAAAAAGCTCAATGAAGTCAGTGGACTTCGAGGAATGGGCAGGTAGAAGAAAGTACTGCATGCGAACTACAGTAATTCTGGATTTCCAGTGTAATTT